TGTAGTAAATATAGGGACGCACAACATACTCAAATGTTGCGTCGATCCAACGGTAGACGAGTGAGAAATCGTCCGGCGAAGCTGACAGGTTTGAGGGGGTGAGGGAGGCGTCGACTCTTCTAGTGATGAAGAAGAAAAATATTAGAGTTTTTTGTGTTTTAGGGTTTCTTTTCTTTTCTTTTTTTGTCAAAATTGCCCCCCCTTCTTTTTCTTTGTGTTAAAGGTTGCTATTTATAGGCAAAATGTTCCTTGAATTTCAAAATTAGTCCCTCAATTTTATTTTTTTGTAAATTCTGATTTTTTTTATATTTTTTTTGAAAATAAGCAATATCAACATCGACTCAATAAGGAAAATCAATGATTTTAAAAATAACGCGTTAAAAGTTGAACGCGTTCCAAATATCTTTGAAAATTTAAATTCTTTTGAGATGATGTTGAAAATGCTAAAAATGATGCAAATATATTTAAAAATATATTTTTTGAATTTTCATTGTTTTTCTTTATTTTTTGGATTTTTTTCTAAAAATTTATCAAAATATTTTGGGTTATTCTTTAATTTTTATCCATATTTTGATAAATTTTTAGAAAAAAATTCCAAAAATAGAGAAAAATAATGAAAATCCAAAAAATATATCTTTAAATATATTTGCATCATTTTTAGCATTTTCAACATCATCTCAAAAGAATTTAAATTTTGAAAGATATTTGGAACGCGTTCAACTTTTAACGTGTTATTTTTAAAATCATTGATTTTCCTTATTGAGTCGATATTGATATTGCTTGTTTTCAAAAAAATACAAAACAAAAATCAAAAAAATCAAAATTTACAAAAAAATAAAATTGAAGGACCAATTTTGAAATCCAAGCAACATTTTGCCTATAAATAGCAACCTTTAACATAAAGAAAAAGGATGGGGGGCAATTTTGGCAAAAAAAAGAAGAAAAGAAATCCTAAAACACAAAAAACCCTAACATTTTTCTTCTCTATCACTAGAAGAGCCGTCGCCTCCCTCACCACCTCAAACCTGTCAGCTTCACCGGATGATTTCTCACTCGTCTACCGTTGGATCGACGCGAAATTTGAGTATGTTGTGCGTCCTTATATTTACTACAGCTTGACCGGAGCGATCATTCATATTCGAAACCACGAGAGAAATATTACCATTTGAATGTTTCTGGACAAACCACTCTCGGAACAGTTAGAGCCACCGGCCTATTCTCCATTATTCACCGTTGGATCAACCTGAGTTTTGGATATGTGATATGTATAGTTGTATTGCACATTCTGAACGGTGTAGATGAGATGAAACCTATCTAAAAAGGTGTTATGCATGTTCAACAGTGGCTCGCCAATCTCAGGTCAGTTTCGGTCTAACTCCGATCCAGGGAGATCCAACCGTTAACTCGGGCTGATATTTGGATATATGGTGCATGAGATGTTGGTTTATCATTTTACCGTTGGGATTTGTTATTGTTTCAATGGTTGATGAGTAATGGTCGTCGGAAGCTTTGCCCAGAATCTGTCATGGCTTGGTGTAGAAGTACAGACTTGTACGGAAGTTGTATTTCTAAAATCCGATGAAAAAACAAAATTTTTAAAACTTCTTTAACACATCAAGTCCATAAAGTAGCTTACCTCAGGTAGGGTGCGTTAGAGGTGCTAATGCCTTCCCTAACCACAACCGGTCCCTTATCCGTGAATCTCTGACAAGACCAGTACAACCGGGTTTCCTAGTAACCTTCAATTAAATACTAGGTGGCGACTGCTAATGAATCTAATAAGATCAAATCAAATAATAACAATGAAAAATTGCCAACGCCTTGCAGATTTTTTTTGACGTGCTACAACGGGAATGAGAATACCATCTCAATCAGCCCCACATTCATTAAGGCAGATGGCAATTTCATTTCAATACTCATGCATTTAGTAAGGATGATGAAAATTTCATATCAATGGGCCACAATTATAACAAAGGAGATGAGAGTATCTTATAAATGGGCCAGCTTTTTGACAAGGAGGATGCCAATTTTATAACAATTGGTCCATATTATGACAAGGAAGAAAACCATTTCATATCAATGGCTCCTTCTATGATAAAACAAGTGAAAACTTCATTTTGATGGGTTCCTCATTTAGCAAGGGAGGAGATAATATCATATCTGGTCCAACACATGACAAGGCAGATTCTGACATTGCATCCATGGCAACTGCCCAGGACAAAGGGAATTCTGGTATTCTATCTATGGGTCACAACTACAACAAGGGTGATAACAATGCCATTTCTTTTGGAGGCTTTCATGATGAACCTGAGACCAGTTCCTCTGGCAATATTATTACTGGCTCTGAGTTGCTAGTGAGCAATCAGGACACAGCTCAAACTTCAGTAGTATTGGCTCAGAACGTTTTGCCCCAGAGAAATGCAGATCCACGGTTGAATACTGATAGTGCTCCGAAGAAGATTGCTGATCCACAGCTAAATAGTGCTCTGGAAGCTAATTCCAAAACTGATACTGACATCAAGGGTAAAGAGCCAAAGGCATCAATCAATGCAGCCCCCAGGAATAAAGAGCCAAAGACACAAATTGGTTCTACGTCTAAGAATAAAGAGCTGAAGACATTGAAGAAGGTCCCCGCTAACAACTTCCCTTCAAATGTCAAGAGCTTGCTATCTACTGGCTTGCTTGATGGGGTCCCTGTTAAATATGTTTCCTGGTCAAGGGAGGTGAGATTGATATATTATGCTGAGATATCAATCTGCGTTTATCAAAGATGAATATTTCTTACTGATTAATGTTCCCACGTTAAAATGCATATCCTTCTTCTTGGCAGAAAACTCTTCAAGGAATCATAAAAGGGACTGGGTATTTATGTGGTTGCAAAGAATGCGGCTCTAACAAGGTATGCAGCTCTATATATTGTTTAGTGTCTTGAAACAGAACTGATGAAGTGTTGAAAACTATTTCATGATTCATGTTCAATGCAGGCTCTGAATGCATATGAATTTGAACGTCATGCTAACTGCAAGACTAAGCATCCCAATAACCATATTTTTTTTGAGAATGGGAAGACTATCTATGCAGTAGTTCAAGAACTGAAGAGCACTCCTCAGGAGGTGCTGTTTAATGCAATCCAAATACTGTTACCGGGTCTCTTATTAATCAGAAGAATTTCCGTATCTGGAAAGGTAAGTAGTAGTTTTAGATGAGTTTGTGACTGCCTTACACAAATACTAGAGATAAATATTAGTTATTTATTCTTTCTCAACAAAGTATTTTCTCCTCCTCTCATCAGCATCATATCAAGCTACCACCTGTGAACTTCAGCGCATCTATGGAAAGGATGAAGTCACTGTGCCATCTTGAGATGAAGACCCTGCTTTTAGAACAAGTTAGGTGGCATGTGTTCTGTGCATAGAAGCATATTTCTCTGGTAATTTATAGACTCGTTTTGGGATTTCTATTAATTTTGAGAGGACTGTTTATATAACTTTTTTTATCCTTCCAAAATAGAATTTAAGTTTTTGGACTTCTTCTGTTATTGGTAGACCACTGTGTTTGTGCATGCATGACTGGGATTAGAGGTGCTTCCACCATGTTAGTTGAGGAGGCAAATTTATTTCTTTTTCACATGACAGGGATAGGCTCGATTAAGTTGTGCAAAAAGCCTATTTATACTTTGTCATGCACCATAGGCGGTTGCTAATATAGGATAGTGTGAAAAAAACTTTATGGAGATGTGCAAATCCCTGGTTTGCATCACCACATGGATATACTTGTCCTAAGTTCCAAATGTTTTTCTTAACTTAGATAAAACCGCCATGTGCAAATATCATGGGATACATTCTTACTCATTCTTGCACTCATCTAAACTTTATGTAGACTAAGCTATATTTTTGTTTCGACCTCTAGCTTTTCCAGTAAAAAGTGGATATCTGTCAATTTTAGGTCCAGTTTTGTTGTTCGTTTTCATTGAAGTGATATAGAATAACAATCCGTGGTTGAGGAATAGCATTACATAGGCAAAGAGCAAAGGTCTTTGGGTGAACTCATGATGGAAGCAGTGTCCCCTGGTTTTTTGCGTTCATCATGCGAGTGCTTGTGGTTTTATTTTCGCTCGTGTAAAGCACAGGACGATTGTTCAGACTGCTCTAGATCAATCTACAAGTTTGTTCCATATGCTTGTTTACTGAGACAACACACGCTCCCACACTTCTGCTTAGTTTTGCTTATTTAAAAAACAGATTGGTCCATCTCTGTTTTGTACTGATTTTAACATTTGTTGTTGCAAAAATCTTAATAATCATGCGAGGGTATTAGGCTCAATGGAGCTTGTCCTATGGAAAACTGAAGACAGCTTGAGCTAGGTTCTTTAAACAGGTTCATCCATGGGTGCATTAACATTACTGGCAACCAAGTCATGATTAGAAGCCTGTAAATTTCCTACCGCGCTAGCTATTTGGTCATATGTTGTTCCACTGCCACCGTTTGATGTTGTAGTTTGATCCTTGCTCTTACCCCATAGAACAAGATACAGGCCTAGAATGATCACAATGGCGCCTATAGCCCTACACCAATGATTGACTGCTGTGTTAGCTCACCTTACTTGATTCATTTGGAGGTTGACAGAGAAGAGACATGATGCGTACCTGCCTAGATAGAATTTCTCCTTGAAGATGAAGGACCCCAAAATTGCAACCATAACTAGGCTTAGAGGATTTGAAGCACTCATAAACACCGGACCCCTTTCCTTTACTAACAATCCAAAAATGTAGTAAGCTAGTCCTGAGAGTATTCCCTGCCATTCAAATGAGGAATTGTTTAATCCCTTGAGTGAATAACAATACAACGCACATGTATTACACAGCAAATTCTGAATAATTTTGCTCAAACTTGGAGTTTCTTACACCATAAACAGCAGCTAAAAGTCTGACATCGAAGTATACAGACCAGACCGCAGTGTTGGCTCGTTCCACTGCAAAGGTTAGTATGGTGCTTTCCACGGTGCCCATGATGCACATGAAAGCAGCAAGGGAAAGCTTAGCTGGGTATGATTTTAGAATCATTGCCTGTAGGGAAGTAACATTAAAAGGACCGAAAGGTGTCACTACTTGAATCGATTAATCATAGGCCCTCTATTTGTTTATGATGACGGCATAATTACAGCTATCATGGTTCGGATGAATTCTTACTTGCAGAATAATGAAACTTGACCAGCTTAAACACCCAAATACAACCATAACAGCACCCTTAATGAGATCTTGGATGTGTGCGCTCTGTGCAGATTGACCGCGACAGAAATTCCTCTTGGTCCACGGCAAATGTAGCAATGGTCCATGAGCAAATGGAAGCAGCATCGCTCCTCCAATTGTTACCAGTGTTCCAGCCACCTTTGCCTGGAAGTGTAGCCTCCTCATATCCACCTTCTCAAGCCTGCAAAATCAGCCTTGCCTTTGTAACCTAAAATCAATAACTACATCAGAGTACTAGCTAACAAACACAAGCTTATTGAGGGGTACTTGAAGATGCAAGCCATAACAAATGTCATTGCCGGAAGAATATTGCACATTGCAAGCACGAAAGCTGGTGTGGTAATTTTCATCCCAGCGTAGAACAAGTTCTGGTCTAGCACTGGCCTGGTAAAGGTTACAAATACGGAATGACATCAGCAATTGCATAAACTTTATATAAACTATGTTTAGAGACAATGAATAAAGCAATTGCTTGTTGTTGTTACTCGAAAAAGCTCAGTAATGTTATCTTGGCGAACATCCAAAAAGTCATCTTTGGCCTTGAATTTCTGTTCAGCATTATTAAACCAAGATGATTATTAGTTTCTGCAAACTATTAACATGAAAATACATATGGCGAAAGACATCAAAGAGACCTTTCTAAGACAAAAGCAAATGGAGTAAGGAGAACAGAGGCAACGGCCATTCTGTAGGCTACTAGTACGTGTGGCTTCATCCCAAGATTCAAAGCGAGCTTGGCAAGTATAGACATTACTGAGTAGCCAAATTGCACGAAAATTACAAGCACATATGCCCTTGCTTGATTGTAAAGGCTAATAAAGGACTCCATGAACATAGCTAGAGTAATTAGCTCTGATCAATGGTGTTTAAGACAACACCACACCCAAATGCAAGAGAAACTGCTTGTGCCAAGAGCTCTTTATAGAACCCTCTTGTCTTTCGCTCTTTAGCAAGGATGTGAACGTAAGATGAGCATGTGTTCATCTATAGATTACGTTACGTGAAGGAGCAACATTTCTTATTAGGGCAAAACCCAGTACACAAAACATCAAAGCCAGAAGCGATTTCCTCAAAATGTATCATGCTGACTAGAATTCTCTAGTGATCAATGTATATGCATAAATGATGGATATAGATATCAGTTGGAAGCATCTTGCAAGATGATTAGATTATTTTTCATCCACCATTAACTGACATCCCCTGCCATTAATTAATACATGAAAGAGAGAAATAAGTCAGTATCAATATCGATCTTACCGATGGAATATATCATCTTTTAATAACAAGTCTCAAAATTAGCTAAACATTGTTGCATCCTCGACCAACTTATAGTCACTTATAATAGAACTAATAGCACATCACTTATAATAGAAAGCTGCTTGGTTGTGCGTAATCATTAACACGCATTTCTTTTTTTTTTTTAGTTTACATTTGTGGACGTGTGATTATATTTCTTTTTCAAGGAATAGTGCTTTTCCTTTAATTTTTTTTTTCACGCACATGTAATATTCTTGTATATTCGTATTTGCTATTACCCTATGAAACAAATTAAATACGTACATCGACGGCTACAGATAACTCTACCAATGATTCATTGCTTGTGTTAGCTCACTGTTACTTGATTCATGTGGAGGTTGATAAAGGGTAGACATGATGCATTCCTGCCCACATACAATTTCTCTTTTAATACGAACCCCAACATTGCATCCATAGCCATGCTTGGAGTTAAGAGTGCTGGAAACGCTTAGAAATAACGGCTCTTTTCCATGGCTAACAATCTGAAAATGTAATAAGCTATGATTTTTTTAAAACATTTTCTGACTAAAATACCCTAATATAGGAGAGAAGAATTAGATTCCTTAATATATATATATATATCAAACGGCAGCTAAATCTAAATATGGAAGTATTTTATACGGTGGAAATCTTTCATTAATTCGAGTCGATGTGAAGATTAACTATTTCTCCAAAGATTAGTATAAACAAAAAGGGGGCGCTGCGGCTTCTTCTTCGTCTTCTTTTTTTGAGGCTTATTGCTGCCTTTAGAAATAAGTTTCTGCATGTTGCTAAATCCTCGCGTGTGGCGATGGTTAAGATGTAGAAAATATACATCATGCTCAAGAAAGGAAAGGAAAGGAAAACACGAAGAAAAAAATTGTCAAGTTAAGTGGTGTCATTCTCCAGCTAAATAATCTTGGTTTCCAAAAATACTTGGTTCCAAATAATTTCCTCTTAACTAGACGGAGCAAATTTCCTTCAATACATGTATATATTATGATGGTGCTAGACTTTCATGCATACAAAAAATATTTTCAGGTCCAAAAAGACAGTAGTACGAAAGGGAAAAAGAAATTTGTACGATGATAAAGTTAAGATTTTTTTTAAAATCCAATTAATGTCCACCAACAAAAAAAATGAGAGGGAGAAGGATGAGCTACTGTCCTGGTTCAATGGTGCTCTTGTCATGGGGAAAAAAAAGGCTAAAGATGGAGGTTGGTTACTGAGCTATGATTGATGCAGGGCTGGCCACGGTGGAGAAAAGGTTGCTTATGGTGCTGGTTTGGAGTGGTGGTCCATGGTGAAGGTTGTTGAAGGTGAGGGTTACGGGTTGTGTTCTTTTAATTTCTTGTTTGTTTCTCTCTTCTCTTTCTCTTCCGTTTTCTCCCTATTCCCTCTATCTTTTTCTTCTGTTCTTGAGGGGGGAGTTTTGGCTTGCTTTTGGTAGCGCCGCCGATGTGGCTCATGGTGATCTCCGGAAGACGAGAAAGGTGACTGGTAGGACAATTGAAAAAATAGCGTGAAGACTGAATTTTTTATTTTACATCTTATTTAATAATTAAATAAATTTAAATTTTAATATTTTTATTTTATTTTTAATTAAAATTAATTAATATTATAAAATAATAAAAGTGAATACAAGTTTTAAATTCAAAATTTTTTTATTCGAGAGAATATATTAAAAAATAATATAAATTATATTTAAAAATTTTAATTAATAACTTTAAATTTTAAATTATAATAATTCTTTTGACAAATATAAACAGATTTATATGGTGGATTGCACAACTTTCTCGGATTTAAGTGGTGGACTGCACAAGATCACATGTACTAAATAATTATTATACTACAAGGCAACACAATGATGATGATGAGAACAACATTAACATGTACACACGTATTTAGCTCTCGAGTTGAATCTTGACCAGAGAAAGGCGGGGGAGAATGCTGGACCGTAGGATGCAAAGCTTATTAACTTCAGGCCTGGACTAATTACAGCCCACTTGTTAAGTAAACTGGACTCCGCCGAATTCAATCTTTTCTTAAGGTGCTTAAGGGTCAACCATTGCCCAGGGGGTCCACTAATGCTGTTTCTATTAGTTTGGATTTCTGTGACCCATGGACTGCAAGCCCAAGCCCTTCCTTAAACGGACATTATGGGCTCATAAAGGAGTTCCCAGCTTCCACTTATGTTCCATGCAGAGGATCCTCTACTTCTAACCAGTTTTAACGGTGATGTTTTTTAAAGGGCGGAAGTAATTGTTTTTTGAAGTATTTTTATTTTGAAATGTAATAAAATAATTTAAATTATAAAATATTAATTTAAAATAAAATAAAATATAAAAATATTTTGAATGCAAAACCAAACATATTTATAGCCTAAATACAACTTTAATTTTTTATTTATTTATTTTGGAACAGATGAGTTTTAATAAAAATAACACTAGCTAAATTGGGGTAGATTGACTTCGTGAAAAGAAGAAGAAGATTGGGCTGTATTTATCTAAATTGGACGTAATTATACCGATGAGGATATGAGAAAGAACAAAGGTTTAAGATTTTGATGACACAAATTACCACAAATTTAAAAATGATTTTTTATTTGGAAAAATATTAAATAATAAAAATATATCAGTGAAATCGATGATAACATATGTGTGAAAAAAAAAAACCGTAAGACGTGATAGATTTCTAAAGATTAAGAAAGATAGTTTAGCAAAAATAATTAACGAGTCCTTGTAGTTCCAGGAATTATTATTTAATCCCAATATTTTTATATTTTATTTATAATTTAATTAATTTATTTTCCATTTCATGTTCCTTTTCATTTCAACGATCGAGCAAATTGAAGTCTGCAATATAATATAGTGATTCTCTTTGGGCTCTCCTGTATGTACAGTACTTCACCTGTACATTATGGCAGACTTGCGCACATATACCCATATTATTTCTTAAAAGCAATATATATATATATATATATATATATTATCAACTAATTAACTGCTCTTGCTCTTCTCATATATAAAGCACCAAATCTTGAATTATGCTTGCATCGTTGAGTTATGGCTCGGAACTAATATCGAACCTTGGAGCTTAATCCTTTGCTCGTTTTTTGTATCCTCGAACTGTAGGCATCATTTGCTAGCAGCAAGCACCTCGATCAGTAAATCTTGACTAAGCTGGATGCGTATATTCTTGGTGGGCACTCGAGTATTTAGCCGGGTCTTGAATCTCTTGACCAGAAACAAAGAAGGAGAAGACGAATTTGTTTTTGGGAATGTCAAAACTGTGAGATGCAGTTTCTTTCATTCCATAATAAGGATTGTCCTTCCATTAGTTCATTTCAAGCCTAGGCTAAATTAAACCCATCTGTATACTTAATTTGATTCAACCTTATTCCATTTTTTTATAGAATAATAATTCCATCTTCTATTATTTTAGAAGGGCTGCGTTTTATAGTCTGCAACGGGATTTAATTTTCTAGTTAACTTGCAAACAATCTCTAGTAAAAAAGGAGAGAAAAAGGGGGCCCTTCTTACACTAAACAAAGAACAAAACTATAAAAAAAACTCCCTCACACGCACATAAGGAATGTGATGATCCAATTGTTTCACTGCTTGAATTTCTTAATTCAGCACAGTAAACGTTATAGTTAAGGAGAAGCGGGGGGCAATTGGCGATTGCCTCCACTAAGTGAGCACTAAAGAGTGGCGAAAAGGAGAAATGATACACAAGTGCTTAAATCATCTTAATTCCTAGATACCCTATCAAGTCTTCGTCGAAACATCAATCTGGCTAAAACTACTTGGTTCTGATATCGATCTTACGAAAACCAAACACAAGACATTGCATTGAATGAACTCGGTAGATAAGTACAACGAAGATGAAATTATAAGCAGTAAATAGTATCATTTCAGACTTGCATTCCTTCAATCAGATTCATCGGTGCGTCTTACTTTGGTAATATCAATAGCAACAAATTCTTGATCCACAGTCTTCGTCCTCTCCTGCATTTCGGTAGCAGTTTGTGTAACAATTGCTTCAGCTTTGTCATCGCTTGAGTCGGATGGAGGTTGATCCTTGCTTTTACCCCACAACACTAGATATAGGCCGGTAACAATGACAACTGCTCCAATAACCCTACAAAGCAACAGTGGCTTGTTCAATTAGTCCACGGCAAAAAAAAAAAAAAATTCTTGGAATAACATTTTTTACTAGTTCCCTTTTTCTGTAAGAGGATTTCATTAGCCAAACACTCCCGAAAAGGTTGACAATTTATGATCCTATATCTGATTATGGAAATTCCTGAGTATTTTAGGTTATCCATAAGTTAAACACTAAATCAACAATATATATTGCGGGGCCTGTAATACCCCACTATATGTTAGCAACAAGTCTTTAGACTCTTTACCTTCCTACGTATAATATCTCTTTCAAGAAAAAGGAGCCCAAAATGGTAACGATAACCATGCTCAAGGGACTAAAGGCAGTCACAAAAACAGGTCCTTTACGCTTCATGATCAATCCTTGCACATAGTAACCAATCCCGGAACAGATAACGCCCTGTATTCAAATAATAGACAAAGTAAGGAAATGA